GTTCCAGGTCAGAAACACACACACACACACAAACACACACACAAACAGTGTTATATTGTTTGTGTGTGTGTGTGCTTTTGAGTGTGCCGATGTTTGTGTGTGCGTGCCTGTAAATGCATGTGTGTTTGTGTGTGCAGGTTTATGCATATGTGATTGTGTGTGTGTCCAAATGTGTGTGCATGCATGTGTAAATTTTCTGTGTGTGTGTGTGTGTTTGTCAGGCGCTTGTGAGACGGATTACCCAGCCGGAGAGTATGCGGGGTCAGAGGTGCAGGGCGGCGCTGAGGAACCGTCTTCAGTGCGCTGCTCGGCCGGCAGCTTCTCTGCGGGCTCTGATGGAGGTCTGGAGGGCATCAGTGTGGTGGGCTGCTCTGCTGACATCCCTCACACCGTCTGCACAAACTCCACACACACCCCTGACTCCGGTAACACACAAACACACACACACACTGATCGACAACACTGCCGAAGTGTGTATAAATGCTGCTGTTTTAAAGCTTGATTCTGTGTGTGTGTGTGTGTGTGTGTGTGTGTGTGTGTGTGTGTAGACGAGGTTGTGTCTGCGCGGCAGCAGGACTCGATAATCACTGCAGCAGAAGAAGCTCTGGAGGCCACAGAGAGCAGCAGCAACACTCCAGCAGACGACTCTCATCCAGAGATCTACACTGAACACGTCTTCACCGACCCGCTGGGGGTGCAGAGCAGCAGAGACGCACCGGCCGGCTACACACAGAGGTGTGTGTGTGTATTCTTGTGCTTGTACACATGTTTAAATGTGTGTCTGCATGTGTGTGCACATACATGAGTATATGTGTGTATGCGCGCAGGTTTGTCTGTGCGTGTGTGCTCCACATCAGATTTGAAACTTTGTGTGTGTGTGTGTGTGTGTGCGTGTGTGTGTGCATGAGCATGTGCATACCTTTGTGTGGATGCGAGTGCATGGGTAAGTGCATGCATCCCTGTGCGTGTGCGTGCCACATCGGATTACAAACATGATGATATTTAATAATTGGGTAATAATTATGTTTGTGTGTTTGTGTGTGTGTTTGTGTGTGTGTGTGTGTTTGTGTGTGTGTGTTTGTGTGTGTGTGTTTGTGTTTGTGTGTGTGTTTGTGTTTGTGTGTGTGTTTGTGCGTGCGTGTTTGTGCGTGTGTGTGTGCGTGTGTGCGTCCGTGTGTGTGTGCGTTTGTGTGTGTGTGTGTTTGCGTGTGTGTTTGTGTGTTTGTTTGCATGTGTGTGTGTGTGTTTGTGTGTGTGTTTGTGTGTGTGCGTGTGTGTGTGCGTGTGTGTTTGTGTGTGTGTTTGCGTGTGTGTTTGCGTGTGTGTTTGCGTGTGTGTTTGTGTGTGTGTTTGCGTGTGTGTGTGCGTGCGTACGTGCGCGCGTGTGTGTGT